AGTTTCTTTGAACACGGCAGAGGTGTATCAAAACAAGACGGTCTCAGTCAGAAGCTGTCGAATCACATGTGTGCAACCCACGACGAATTCTCTTCGGTGGGCTGCAGGCAAGGCCAGGACGCCTCGCAACTGCCTGAGCCTGGGAAGAAACAAGCGGGCACGAGAGAGGGGGGGAGGGGGGGGGGACATAATGGGAACGAGGAGGGCCAGGAGGACGGGGCGCTCGATGAGACGGTGTGATGGAGGGAGGCGGGAGGGCTTGGACCAGGGGAGGGGGGGGGGAGGAGGGAGGAGGACGAAGGTCGCTTCGGGAGTGACGCCGCCGCCTTGTCCAACCCCATAGCCTTGAGCTTGGTGATGGACTCCACGGTGTTCTGGGCGCCCGCCCGCGTTCCCAGTGCAGGTTGAGCGGGAAGGAGGCGGAACGGGAGGAAGGGGGGGATGGCGAAGAGGAGAGGAGAGACTGGGAAGGGGGAGAAGGGGGGAGGGGGGGGGGAGGAAGGGGGGGATGGCGAAGAGGGGGAGGATAAGGGAGGGAGGAGAGGAGGATGACTGGGACGAGAAGACAGACGATACGCGACCCCAGAAGTCCCGATCGCTCACACAGACCAGGGATAGATTTGATGACTGCCCCACGCCCGAGAACTGCCAACAAGAATTCGGCATTGACGAAACAACACTGGCTGAGAAAATCGCATCGTCGAAAATCTGGGTGGATGACTACGTGTTCCCAGGATTCCTAGGACAGGTGCAGCCATGACAGGGGTGAAAACACCACATGCACCTGAATGTACTTGCTGACAAGGGATCGTGGCAGGCCAAAGCAAACATGTTGCCAACATTGAGACGAGAGCGCGATTCCTGAATACATTGTGAGAAAGTGTCAGACGAAACGGACGCCAGATCGGGCGATCTTGGGCTCCCCGTCCGCGCGTGGGACGTATCTGTGTTTACTTCTTTACCTCGATTCTAAAATCCTCGAGCCAAGCGCTGTCAAGGAAAAGTCATGTCGTCGGAGATCTGGGGGGGAGGAGGAGGGAGGGGGAGGGGGAGAAGAAGGGAGGGGAAGGAGTATGGAGGGGGGGGGAGGGGAGGAGGATGGAATTGGAAGGGGACGGAGAGGAGGATGGAGGGGGGGGGAAAGGAGTATGAAGGGGGAGGGGGAGGAGGATGGAGGGAGAGGGTGATGGAGGGGGAGGGGGAAGATGGCAGGGAACGAGGGGACGGGGGAGGAGGGAACGGGGACGAGGGGAAGGGGCAGCGGAAGGGGCAGGAGCAGGACGGGGACGCCGCCGAGCGCTCCGGAGCCGCGTTGTGGCCACCGCGGCCAGGATCGGAGGCGGAGCCAAAGGGGGGCGAGCCAGAGGGCGAGGGGGCAGCAGCATGATGGGGAGGGGCGGGAGCCGCGGCGGCAGCGCTGGGGAGGGGCCGGGACGGCAGGTGGTCGCACGTGTCTGTTTCGGAGTGGGGCGCGTCGGGGCGGCCCCACACACATTCCAACTCCTCCCCTTCCTCCTCCTCCTCCTCCTCCTTTTTCTCCTCCTCCTCCTCCTCGACCTCCTCCTCCTCCTCACCAACGACAAGGCGATATCAACATCCATACAATGATGATGTGTCATCATCACCATCACCATCACCATCACCAGCACAATCATCATCATCATCAGCATCATCATCACCACCATCATCATCATCATCATCATCATCATCATCATCAGTATCATCACCACCATCATCATCACCATCACCATCATCACCATCATCATCATCATCATCAACAGCATCACCATCAGCATCATCATCATCATTAACATGAATGTCATCACCACAATTTTCGTCGTCGTCACCGTCCCGTCCCGTTCTGCCCATCCTCCCCCTTTTTTCCCTTTCCTCATGGAACCTTTCTCCCTCCCTCCCTCCTCCCCCCCACCGGCCATTGCTGCTGCCGGTCCCCCTGCTCGTTGTCCTGCCAACCACCTCCCCTTCCAGTTCTTCTGCCCTCCTCCAGACTCCGCTTCCTCATGATCACCTCCCCCTCCTCCTCCCTTTCGAACCTCTTTTTCTCCCCTCCTCGTCACCACTTCCTCCTCTGCCACTTCCTCCTCCATCGACCCTCCTTCTAAAACACCGCCTCCTTGTCGCACCACCAGACGTGTTGCTGTGGCGGCCCTGGCCTCTTCTGGTCCAGACTGATGCACTGTTCATTACCTACGCGGATGGGGTGAGAAATTGAAAACAACAATCCGACCATACGTCGATTGCCTCCCCCTCGAGTTTCTATTCGACTGCCGAACCTGAAGCCAACGCTCCCCCTCCTACGCATGAAACAAACGAGCCCTGGCACAGGCGCTACCAGCGATTCATCATGGGTCGTGTTTTTTTACGGGGTCGGTTCCACGGGACGGCCCAAGGACACCGAAAACTGCGACAAGCCTTGAGGCCAACTCCCCCCAGGATCCCATGTCTTTCATGGCGCCCCCCCACCCCACAATACCCCTCGAATCTCGATGGTCCAGCCTCCTGTCCACACCGCATGTGCTTTGGGGGTTTGGGGGGGCGCCAGGTGCACACGATTCTCCGTCGCAAAGCGCTAAGCTGGGGCACAACTCGTGCGTAGCAAGTGGGTCGAAGGGACGGCGGCAATCACATATACACGCTCGCACACATACGCACACAAACGCACACACATTCACACAAAAACACACACGCACACTCACGCACACGCACGCACACACGCACAAACACACACACACACACACACACGCACACGAACACACACACACACAGAGACACACACACACGCACACACACACACACACACACACACGCACCCACAAACACGCATCCACACACACAGACGCACACACACACGCACACACACGCGCACACACACACGCGCACACACACGCACGCACGCACGCACGCACGCACGCACACATACACACACACACACACGCACACACACACACACACATACACACATGGGTTCGGGGCCGTTGTCTTTCCCACCCTTCTCCTCCCTTTCTCGGACGCACGTTAACATGGATCACGGATCCGTGGATTTGACGTGCGAGCGCCAAATCACTAGATCAAGGAAAATGCACACGAAACGTGATGCCAACGCCGCGTCATTTGGCGACGGAACGCGCCGATTATTCACGGAACCAGAACCCGTTGTTTTCTATGTATCTCTATTCATGTCTGTGTCATGTCTGCGTCCCCTCGGCACTCCCACTCCTCCCCCCTCCTATGCCGAAAGCCAGACGCGGACTTGAAGGACCCGCTGGCTCTGAGGGGGCGGGGGCTACGGCAGGTTCGTGTCGTGCCGACTTCGGCGTTGGCTTCTGACACCGCGTGGATCGTTCAACCTTGAACGATCGGCCGTTTCCGAAACGTCCAAATCGTTCCACCTCGAACGATTCTGGGTCGCCCGCGGCGTTCAACGTTGAACGCCGCTGGCGGGGTCGCCGCCGGTCGACACGACACGAATCCACTGCACCCTGAGTCCTGCCCCGTCCAAGCGACGAGCCGTGCATTTTCCCTGGCGCGGGCTCAGCCCGCCAGCACGAGAGCCACGGCCGCCCTCCCGGGGAGCGCGGCCGTGGCTCTCGTGCGGCTCCCCCCGAGGCCCCCACCGAGGCTCGCACGAGGCTGCGAGGCCTCGGTTCGCTTGAGCGCCGCTGATAGCTCAGCCCCCCAACGCCATCCTCCTTCTCGCCGCGCTGCCCCCCCCCACCCACAAGGGGAAAACAACATGGGCATAAACGCTCGGAGCTCCGCGCGGATGCCTTGGATCTGCACTGCCCCCCCTCCCTGGCGCGAGAAGCGCGCCACAAAAGGCGGCGGAGGCGCCAACAGGGGGGCCCACGCGCAGATCCGGAAAATCCGCGCGGAGCTCCGAGAGCCTGGGTTTATGCCGTGTGTTCCTTTTGTCCGTCCTTCGTTAGGCGACGCCCGAACCCTTCCCCGACCAACCATCGATTCACCTGAGTCGATGAGAGTCGGTGGTCGGTTTTCGCATGTCGCCACCCGTTCCACGACTTCCGAACCACACCTCCGCCGCCCAACGAATTTCGGGGATCTGATGGCCCGGGTTTATCCAGACCCGGGCCAGTCAGGCGTTGCAGGATCCTGCAAGATCCTGCGAAAATGGCCGGGCCAATGCAACCCTGACTCTGCAGGATCCTGCAAGTTCCGGCGCTCTGACTGACCCCCGTTTGCAGTGACCCCCGCCTCTTGAGCTCCGAGAGTTGCCTGAGTCGTTGACCAGCGACGGCAGGGTTCAGATGTCGCCAGCGATCCCCACCATCCAACAAAGCCACGAGGCCTCCTGCTCACGCCACCGGCGCGGGCGACGACTCCGCCCACAGCCAGCGCTTCTTCTCAGGAGTGGGCGCTGGCAAGCAGGCGTGCAGCATGCCTCTTCGGATCCCTGCCGTATTCCCCCCTCGCCCGTTCCTCGCGAAACCCACTGTCAAAACATAAAAACAAACTGTGCGACGATAGCCTGGGTTATCCGGTGTAAGGGGAGGTGCCCGCCGATAACCGAATCTTTTCGCACGCAGCCCCACGCTTGCCCACGCACACCAGTACTGCGTACCCCTTCGGACCTTCACAACCGACACGGTCAGGCTGTTTGGGGGGGGGAGGAGGAGGAGGAGGAGGAGGAGGAGGAGGAGGAGGCAGGAGGAGGAGGAGGAGGAGGAGGAGGAGGAGGAGAAGAAGAAGAGGAGGAAGAAGAAGAGGATCATGAGGAGGAAAAGATGAGAAGGAGGAGGAGGAGGAGGAGGAGGAAGAGGAGGCGAAATAACCAAAAAAGGAGAGGAAGAGGAACAAGCTCGGCGGGCAGGCCCGATAATCCGCGTTATCGCCAGCCCCTCAACAAAAAAAACCATCGCTCGCGCCAACGGGACGATCCCTGCCATGCCTGCCGCGTCGCGGACGGGCGCCGGGCGCCCACCGGGGGCCTGCTTCGGGTCGTCCAGCCCCTCCCATCGCACCTGGCGCAGGTCGGTGGGGGGGACGGGGAAGGCCGCCCACCCGCGAAGCAACGGGCGAAGGAGAGGAGTGGGGGGTGGGGGGGGGCGTGGGAACATTGGATGAAGAAAACAAAGAGGAGATGTAGGAGGGGGAAGGGGTACCAATAGTAGAGGTAGTCGTCGTGAGGGTCGCAGTCGTTGTCGCAAAGGTATTCATCGTCGTAGTTGTAGCCGTCGGGGAGATGTAGAGGTAATAGGAGTTGTGCTGGTAGCAGTAGTGGTAGGGGTGAGGATAAGGGGTAGGGGTATTGGTAAAAGTAAAAATAATGATAGCAGTCCAGGTCGTTGTGATAGTGATAATAATAAGGATCATTGTCGTCTTAATGGCAAGAGTCGAAGTGGTGGTAGTGTAAATATTATCATACGCACCTCTCCAAGGGAATAGAACTCAAAGGCGATTAATTGAAGACAGCGCCGTGTCCGCGATTCTTCTGGCCGTTTCGCTAGGGGCATCCTCGAATTTCTGAAAATCAGTGGCACCCCTCACACAGATCGTGACGTCAGGGTCCAAAAATAAATTGGAATTTCAACATTATAATATAAAACCTTCAAAACACAATGTAATTGCAATGATTTCGACCCCGATTCTCAAAGAATGGCGGTTTCGCCTGAGACATCCCCCGAAAATCGAGCTCCGACGTACCTTCTGCTACCCCAGACCCCGCCTCGGAGCCTCCTGGAATCTCCTGAGGCCTCCTGGGGCCTCCTTGGGCCTGCGGTCTCTTGGTCGGGCCTCCTGGAGCCTCTTGCGGCCTCCATGGACATCCTCGCAACTTCGAGCCTAGACGTATTCTCCTTCGGCCTCGTGGAGCCTCTTGCGGCCTCCTGGTCGGGCCTCCTGAGACTTCCATAGACATCCTCGCAACCTCGATCCCAGACGACCCCTCCTGGGGCCTCCTGGAACGTTTTCCGGCATCCCGGTCGGGCCTCCTGAAGCTTCCTCGGGGCCCGTGGCACACACACACACACACACACGCACACACATCGCAAGGAATGGCAACCCCGCTTGCGCTCGAGTGAGACCTCGCTATTGCACTTCACTCCCAGCAGCTATCCTCCTCCTCCTCTTCGCCTCCTTCTCTTTCCCTCCACATCTAATGAAAACAATCGACTGGTGGGAATCGTGCTTGCATTTCTCTTTTTGATCGCTTCGCTCACTCCGCCAGCCCATATTGCATCACTAGTGCTATATGTTCGTGTGCGTGTGGCGAGCGAGAAAGATAAGGGTCAGCCAATTCCGCCTGAGACATCGTCGCAACTCTGGATTCCGAGATGCCCTGACCCGTGGTGGCCTGGCCACTTTCGCCTGCGACACCCTCGAAACTCTGGGTTCCGAGATGCTCTGAACTGGTGTGCTCAGGCCACTTTCGCTTGAAACGTCCTCGCAACTCTGGATTCCGAGATGCCCTGAGCTGAGGTGGTCAGGCCACTTTCGCCTGAGACATCCTCGCAACGCTGATCTCGGAGAGGCATTGCCGTCGTCGATCCCCCTGTTCGACTCCTCGAAATTCGATTCTTCAGCGTTCACCCCCTGCCTCTTCCCCTTCTCTTAGGCACGCCCTGGCGGCGCCGCGCCAGCTTCCCCTTCTCCATCTCCGATCCCGCCGTCATTGTCTTCCTGCTCCAAACGACCTTTCCGTTTGTCGTATGAGCCTGGGCACACACATGCCACTTGTTAATAATGGAAATAGACGTAGACGTAGCAGCAACAATAAAAATAGTAATAATAATGGTCGTAGAATTAGTAGTCGTAGTAGTAGTAGTAGTAGTAGTAGTAGTAGTAGTAGTAGTAGTAGTAGTAGTAGTAGTAGTGATAATACTAGCAGTAGTAGTCGCAGCGTTTGTAGTAGCAGTAGTAGTAGTAGTAGTAGTAGTAGTAGTAGTAGTAGTAGTAGTAGTAGTAGTAGTAGTAGTACTCGTAGTAGTACTGGTAGTAGTAGTAGTAGTAGTAGTAGTAGTAGTAGTAGTAGTAGTAGTAGTAGTAGTAGTAGTAGGTAGTAGTAGTTAGTAGTGGTAGTAGTAGTAGTAGTAGTAGTAGTAGTGGTAGTAGTAGTAATAGTAGTGATAGTAACAGTAGTAGCAGTAGCAATCGTAGTAGCAGTAGAAGTAGTAGTAGTAGTAGTAATAGTAGTAGTAGTAGTAGTAGTAGTAGTAGTCGTAGTGGTAAAAGTAGTAGTAATAGTAGTAGTACTAATAATAATAATTATTATTCACTGCGTGGGGATCCCCATATGTGCATCTCCTTGCTGGCGCTCCCTTGGTGGTGGGACTCGGTGAGGACGAATCTGGATTTAAGTGTGACTGAGCTGCCTCTCTCTCTGCTCTCTCTGCTCTCTCTGTCTCTCTCTCTCTCTCTGCCCTCTCTCTGTCTCTGCCTCTCTTTCCCTGCCTCTCTCTCTCTCTCTGCCTCTCTCTCTGCCTCTGTCTCTCTGCCTCTCTCTCTCTCTCTCTGCCTCTCTCTCTGTGCCTCTCTCTCTCTGCCTCTATCTCTGCTTCTCTCTCTCTCTCTCTCCTCTCTCTCTTCTCTCTATTCTCTCTCTGCTCTCTCCTCTCTCTCTCACTCTCCCTCTCTCTCTCTCTCGCTCTCTCTCTTCTCTTCTCTTCTCTTCTCTCTCTCTCTATCTCTCTCTCTCTTTCTCTCTATCTCTCTCTCTCGGCGAACGCTTCGCAACGGCCCCTAAACTGTCAGATGCCGCCACGACCCGCATCCAACACATGGAACAACAGCGCGAGCTGCTTGCCAACACGGTGGATAACATGCAGGTTCAGCTTGCGGGCGTTCTCTCATCCCAGGCCACACCCACGGAGCACGTTTCAGGTTTGGAACGAGGGCTTGCCACCGTCGTCACCCAGCAACAGACGGCAACTACCGAAGCTGCTGCACTGCGTGGCGACATCCAGGCCCTCCTCGGGCACCTCACGGGGGGCACCATCCACCTGCCACAGGTGGCCACTCTCGAAACAAAAAAGGAGGAAGCTGCATCAGTTGCCGATCCCGTGGCTGTCTGCGGGTGGATTGACCAGCCAGGCCAGGTCACCCCAGGGACGGGGCCCCCAGGGGCTGACAAAGGCAAAGACAAGGGTCGGGTCACTCAGGAACCCTATTGAAGGTGCCTCAGAGAGCCTGCCTCAGCCCTCCGAGGAAGCGCCTTCAGAGGCATCTCTTCTCTCTTCGCGTCGTATCTCTTTCTTGTCATATCATGTCAGTTTTGGCAGCAGCACGAGCAAGCTATCTGGTGTAGGGACACCTGTCATCTTGCTGTGGGTGTGTTTGTTGCAATGTACATGAGCATGCAGGGGTATCTGAGGATGCGTGCTGACATGCAGCTTTTGGCTCATCGCTCGCGCCGCCCGCCAGGCCTCGCCATCATGTGGCGCCTTGCCTGCAGCCTGGCCCTCCCCTCGCTCGCTGGAGCACACCCGTCTTCAGGCGGTGCGCCCCAGCATGGAGGTGAGGTTTTCCTGCGACACGCTGAACGTGGGACCCTTTTCTACCTCTACGATGACAGCATCTACAAGTACGATCACTGCACCATTTTGGACCCGATCGTGAACAGCACCGTAGCCGCGGGTCCGTGCGGCAACGGACCGCTGGGCGCCATCGTGAGCGCATACACGCCCTTGTCAACTACGACACATGCATCGAAATCCACTCCCAGCGTGGCCTCGACTGCGGTGCAGCAGATCCTTGACGGGGACGTTGATTTAGGCCAGGCACACAGTGGCGGCTTCAGCCCCGCTGTCGTGCCCCGCTATTGCCCCACGGGTCTCACCACCCCCCTGTGCGCTAGGGGCGAACCCGAGGAGGACCCTGCTTTCTGGCACCTGATGATGATCCGCGCCCGGCTCATACCGTGTGCTGCGGCGTGGGCACCAGGTGAGGACCACCAGGACGTGTTCTGGGCATGGCTCGAGGACTGCGTCCCGTACATCCTGGCGACGCTTCATCTGCCACAGTACGATCACCTCTTTCAGGAGGATTCTGAGGACACAACCGACGCCCTGCGTCAGCGCACCGCGGTCGACATGTGCGAGGACATCTGGCACAGAGCGGGCCCCGACAGACAGCGCACCAACCGCAACCTCACTCGTATCCAGAGCAGCCGCGAGTACGCCACCCGCTACTTTGGCCTCCTTCTGGAATACCAGGGCGCTCGTGCCACGCTCGTCGGTCCTGAGGCTTTCACGGCACCTTTGCCGCCATACCTCTCACGGGCCCATGCTTTGCTGCCAAGAGGCCTCCCTCCACCCGACCAAGACGCCATGGCGTACCTCGCCGATGTGATCCTGCACCAACCGCCAGACATGCTGCCGCTTGTCGAGGCGGAGCTCGCCGCGGCGCCGATGGACGGCACCGATCAGGCCGCAGATGATCCCGTATCATGGCTGCTACAGCACATCGCGGCCAGCGATATCGGCAACATATCCATGGACTCGTTCCACGCGTCGGATGATAGCCAGGACGGCATCGATACCCAGGATCGAGACGGCACGACACCACCAGGCGACTCGGCCCAGCGTGACCGCGACAGTGAACCCTACTTAGGGCACACCTCGTTGCACAGCAGTCCGCCCCACAACTCAGCTCAGGCCGACCCCGGCGCACAGCTCAACGACGCTGAAGGCGTCACTGCCGCCGACGCGACAAGCCATTCCACTGCATCGCCAGCTCATGCCAGCCCGTGCAGTGGCGGCTTCAGCCCCGCTGCAGCACTGGCTAGACCTGGACATCCCCAGACCGCAGGTGGCAGCACCACGCCCTTCACCTCTGTACACCGTGACAACGCGACTGACTCCAACCCCAGTGTCATTGGCCACTGGCAGGCCGACATCGACAACGACCCCATCGATGATGAGTACCCAGATGCCAGCGGTTCCCACGAGCCCCAGCACAGCGCAGCGGCATCACGACATTGTGGCTGCCTCATCTGCCTCTTTGTGGCCACGTACGCCATCGCGAT